ATAACTTATGGGTTAACAATGATTAAAAACCAATGTACTTATTGCCTTACTTATGTAACTGTTCTCCCCCACTCATCACTTTTCAATAATTTAATAATTAATATTCAATAATAAAATTAATAATTTATAATAATAAATCTAAACAGGCTAGATAATTGTGTAAGGAAATAATTCATTAAGTTATAAAAGATTGGCTCTTGAGTATCATTTGTGACACTTGTGATCTATGTGTTGAAAAAGCTCATCATTAACGATTCACATACTAGATTTTTCACTCAAATGAGAACAATCCCCTTCATTTCAATAATAAGACTTTGTAAGTGTCAAATGCTTACAGTGTGCTGAGCTCCTGCCTTACAGCTCTTTATACACTAACTCATTGAATTCTCCCTCTAACCTCATGAGGTTTTTATCCTCAGTTTACAGATAGGAAAACCAAGGCTTAGCTGAGCACTGGTGGCTCACACCTGGGCAGGAAAGTCTCTTATATCCAATTATCCGCCAAAAAAGCTAGAGGTTAAGCTGTGGCTCAAGTGGGAGAACACTAACCTTGAACACAAAAGCTCAGAGACAGTACCCAGGCAGGCCCTGAGTTCAAGCTCAAGACCAGCATGTGAAGAAGGAAGGAAGGAAGGAAGGAAGGAACCCAAATTTAAAGATGTGCAATTCTTGATTCTGCTTTCAAATAGCATTTGACTGCAGGACCCACGCCCTCCTCTGTAAGTAAGAACTGTTTCCTGCAGAGTAGCTCCATCTGCCAGCATTCTGTGCAGTAAAGTTTATAAAACATTTAAAAAATTCTCAAGCAACAGTGAAATAAAAGATCAAAGACTAATCCTAGCTACTAAGGAGGCTGAGGTCTGAGGATCAAGATTTATGTAGGAACATTAACCTTAATATCCAATTAACCAGCAAAACCTGGAAGCAGAAGTGCAGCTGAAGTGGTAGAACACCAAAAACTAAGGAAGAACTCAAGACTGTGAGTTCAAGCCCCAGTGCTGGCATACACACACACACACACACACACACACACACACACACACACACACATACACACACACACACACAAATAAGAACAAAGAAAATGTTAAGCAGTTTATAGCAGAAATATATATATATATCACTTTATATAACTTTATACAGCAGAAAAAGGAAATGGAAGGGGGACAAGGGGGGTGGAGAGGAAAGAAAAGGAAGAAGGGGAGAGGAGGGAGGAGAGGAGAACAATTAAGAAGAAAAAAGTATCCAGGATTTACAAAACAAATCCCTATGTAAATTACAGCACATGAACACAACAAAAGACGATGTCACTAGGGTTTTGAAAGACACAGAGAAAGCACATGGGAAGGATTTTTAAAAGGTCTCTCTACTTCACTGGGTACATATGATTTCTCAGATTATCTAATTTTCTAATGTCTGGATGTCTCTTTCCTTCTCCTCCTCTTTCTTCACGTGCTAGACTAATCAAATTTAAGCCTCTTAAGTACAGTCATTCCTTTTGTGTTTGGAAAGCTTGCCAGCTACCAAAATATGTAGACACAATTAAGAGATGAGGGTCAACGGGGAAACTGTCTCACAAGAAATGGTACCCACCACTTTGGGGAGGTGGGGGCCTGATGTATTTCCTGTTGGGAATTCAACAAAGCAAGTGTGACTGAGATGGAGTTTGCTTCAGAATAAATCATAAATCAAGACAAGCAACAATTATACTGTCTGCTATTGACCATGTGCCACTGGAAAAATGATTTCATCTGAAAGCACTTAGCCTTCCAATAAGCCAAACAAACTGCAGAGGAAGAAGAGTTGCGGAATATTGCTGTAATGCAAACTTATGAAAGAAAACTAAAAAATTAAGCAGAGGAAAAGTACACAAACAATGTGGCCTCAGAGCATTAGAGTATATAATGGAAAGCAAATCTAAGGCTTGTGGGAAATCCTTATTGCCTTTTGCTATTGCTTGGATGTGTCCCCCAAACATGGGTGTTAAAAGCTTGGTCCTCAGACTGTGGTACTATGAAGACAAACCATTAAAGGGTGGAAATTAATGGAGATGTCAAAACATGCCTTGGACTGTGGGACCCTGGCATTTTCCTCTTCCTTTCTCTCTTCATGCTCCAGCCTGAGGCAAGAATGTTGTTTTGCGTCCCTCGGGCCCAAAAAGCAAAGGGACCAACAGACCCTGAACTGAAACCCTCACAGCTGGGAGGGTAAATGAACCTTTCCTAGTCAAGCTCACTATCTCACCATCTCACTATCTCAGCAACACAAAGCTGCTTAATACACTTACACAAACTTACTGCTATGATGAATTCCCAGAGGAAACCTTCGCCCTGACTGAGGCCTTTTAATCATCGCTCCAAATATGAATCTTTTACAGAAAGATAGCAATGAGTGAATGCTTGAGAATAGATATTAAGATCCTTCTCAACCCACCTGAGTGTTTAACATTAATGGTCTTCCTCTGCTTTCTCTTGGTGTCAGTCACTATTGTCAAGATGGTCTTTAATTATGTGTATGTGTGTGTGTGTGTGTGTGTGTGTGTATTGTGGGGGTGTTTTTGGTCATGGAGCTTGAACTCAGAGCCTAGGCACTGCCCTGAGCAATTTTTCTCATGCCTGGCACTCTACCACTTTAAGCCATAGCTCCACTTCTGGTTCCTTGGAGATAACAGCATTCTGTCCAGGGCTGGTTTTGAACTGTGATCCTCAGATCTCAGCCTCCTGAATAACCAGGATTACAGGGATGAGGCACCAGCACCCCAGCTTTAATAATTATTATTATTTTATACCAGTACTTGGGCTTAAACACAGGGCCTTCTGACTATTTTGTTCAAGCCTAGCACTCTGTCACTTGAGCCACACCTCCACTTCTAGCTTTTTGGTGGTTAATTGGAGATAAGAAACTCTCCTACCCAGGCTGGCTTCCAACTTTGATCCTCAGATCTCAGCCTCCTGATTAGCCAGATTTACAGGCATGAGCCACCATCGCACAGTTCAACATGAGCCTTAAGGGCTCTTTATACAGGGGCTGGGAAGATGGCTCAGTGGTAGAGCGCTTGCCTTGCATGCCTGAGGCCCTGGGTTCGATTCCTCAGCACCACATAAGCAAAAAGAAAAAAGCCGGAAGTGGCGCTGTGGCTCAAGTGGTAGAGCGCTAGCCTTGAGCTGAAGAGCTGAGGGACAGCGCCCAGGCCCAGAGTTCAGGCCCCACGACCGGACCCCCCCCCCAAAAAGAGCTGTTTATACAACTGGAAAAAAAAGTCTTTGACTCTTATGAAAAAGTGAAATTGTATAATCATTTTGAAAACTGCAAATGTAATTAATATTCAGTCTATCATTTAAAGTCATATGCAATTTCCTTTAAAAAAAAAAACAAAAGCTTGTCTTCACAGAAATATACTAATCATAGAATGAAATCTGAGGAGCAACCTAACTTTCAATTTTAGGAACTACAAGAACCCAAGGAATAAAACTAAATGACATGAATGAGAAGATATGGGACAAATTCAGCAGATAGAACTTCTTTACAACTAGCTTAGTTTCATATCATTAAAAATTATATTAAAAGAGTCTTCAGAAACAGAAGATCCAGAGGCATTGCATTAGTCCCACAGTAAATTCTGCTTTGGACAAACCACCCATCAAGGGCACTGTGGGGCCAAAAAGGAAAATTCGAATGTCATGAAGAATCAGCTACTATCAAGAATGATTACCAATTGCATTTGTCATGATAATGGCAATTTGCTTATATAGGACAATGTTCTCTTTTTTAAAAGATGCACATTAGAGTTCTTAAAGATAAAATGTTAATAAGTACATATTTTGAAATATTTCAGTGTAAACATTAGGTTTGGGAAAAGAGATGAGACAATAAAAAATAATTCTAAAACAATGAACGTACATGGTTCAAGGCTTATTCTCTGGTGTCAAGGAAAATAGTTCATAGGACAAAATGATACATTTACAAAGAAACTTTCATAGTAAGGGGGCTCTCACAAAGTGCAAGATGTAACTTTTTAAATATGCATATTAAATTATTGGCCTTAGAAAAATGTACTAATATAATATTAGATTAAATATTTAGTTTTGGCAAGGTGCTGGGGGCTCACATCTGTAATCCTAGCTACTTGAGAGGCTGAGATCTGAGGATTATGGTTCAGAGCCAGCCCTGGCAGGAAAGTCCATGAGATTCTTATCTCCAAATAAACACCAGAAAACCCAAGTCGAGCTATGGCTCAAGTGGTAGAACACTAGCCTTGAGTGAAAAAGTTAACGGACAACATCCAGGCCATGAGTCTAAGCTCCAGTAAAAGCAAAGTAAACAATAACAAAAAAAGTTTAGCTTTGTTATTCTAGTGTCAAGAATGACAAGAGTAGAAAATTCGGAACTGTAACAATATTCCAGAATACTCGCAACTTAGAAAACATGCCTTGTTGATAGTCACCTTATTGTTTTTCCTGAAGGCTTACCTTCTATTCCCTATATGAAAATACTTCCTTTGTACATTAATAAAAATCTTTTGTTCTAAGTACATACCTAACAACTAAGTAAGCAAAGTTCACAAGTTTAGAAAGTATTGTGTGGGCTAAACAATATATATATATATATATATATGCACATACATATGTATATATAGTGTATATCTCTGTACACACCCTATGTATGTGTGTGTGAGTGTGTGTATGTGTATAATTTAGCCACTGGCTAAATGCTAAATTATAATAAATATAATATAATAAATGCTAAATTATAATAAAAATAGGGAACCCTCCCCCTCAAAAAAGAAAACATCATTCTCATTCAGACAGATTATAGACAGGTCAGATCTACAGAGCACTTGCTCTTCAAGGAAGCTACTGCCTTTGGATGAGGTCAATAGCAGCCTTTTCTATTTGGTCATGGAAATGTACAATTTAAACACACAGCATCTGCCTTTTGGGTATGGAAATAATAGACTCAAAAGTTTAACCAAAGTAAAAGGAGGAGCAGGAAAAACAAACCTGAGGCCGAGCTGCCTGCAGACCACCTCCGCATCAGCGTCGTCCCATTGGTCATCACAGACAGTGCCCCACTGGCCAGCGCGGTACAACTCCACTCGCCCCTCATGCCCACTGCTCCCTCCAACCAGGCGAATGGCAGGCAACGCTGGGCCTGGGCAATGAGAAGTTTACAGCCAGTTAAGTATGTTTGTACATTGATCCATGAGAGCTGGTGAACTTCATTTCTTCCCCTTTTCACTAATATTCAGTAATGGCAGAAACGTGCACACAGCTATCTACCTAGTATTACTACAGTAATATTGACCACTTAAAATACTGCAAGCCAGATGCTGGTGGTTCATGCCTCTAATCCTAGCCACTCAGGAGACTGAGTTGTTGAGGATTGTGGTTTGAAGCCAGCCCAAGTAGAAAAGTCTGTAAGACTCTGATTTCCAATTAACCAGCAGAAAAAGCCAGACAGAAATGGATCTGTGGTTTAAGTGATAAAAGTGCTAGCCTTGAACAACAAAGCTTAGGGACAGAGCCTGGCCCTGAGTTGAACTCCCAGGACTGCGTGCACGCACGCGCGCATGAGCATGCACACACACACACATACACACACACACACAATTAGTTCATCTCTTCCCCTTCCCAACAAATATAACGATTTTTCATTTGAAAGGCAATTAGCAAAGAAGTTGACTTATATTTTATTTTATAGATAAAAATTCTCCATGTATTTTCATTTACATTGCTACTATTTTCTATAACTAATATTTACACACATGATACTTGACTTTGTATGTTTTGGAAAAGCTCCAAGTTCTGGATGACGAGATAGTCTTAGTCAATGTAATTCTCAAACTAAAAATATGTATTAAAGAATTACTGTTGTGTCCTAAGGTAGAATCAGGGTTTGCTGATGTCATGTTCTCTTTTAATTGACCAGAAAGAAGTCTTTTTTTTTTTGGGGGGGGGTCCGGTCGTGGGGCCTGAACTCTGGGCCTGGGCGCTGTCCCTCAGCTCTTCAGCTCAAGGCTAGCGCTCTACCACTTGAGCCACAGCGCCACTTCCGGCTTTTTTCATTTTGCTTATGTGGTGCTGAGGAATCGAATCCAGGGCCTCATGCATGCAAGGCAAGTGCTCTACCACTGAGCCACCTTCCCAGCCCAAGAAGTCTTTTTTTATGCTTATTTCTAGGTCATCACAGCTTCCTGTGTTTGGTATATGCTTACAAATGACCTGAAAATCATCTTCCTAACACGATTATGAACAAATGAATAGATTACAATAGGTAAAAGGAAAAGAAGAGAAAAAGGTGGGCATATGGTACACATCTGTAACTTCAGCACTCAAGCTGAGGCAGAAGGCGCAGAAGAAAGAGAAAGGGGTGGGGTAAGAACACACACAAAAAAAGCAAAACTGAAGTCAAAGCAGATGGGCATATAACTATGGATAACTTTTAGAATGTTAGACGTTTTTATCAATGAAGGTGAACAAAGAATAAAAACAATAATCCACAAAAAAAGCAGTGCATTTCTATACCCAATTCATGTCATCTTGTAACAATACTGCGGTGAACACAAACTTGGCAAAAGATCATTAAGCAGAAAGATGAGAGTAAAAAAAGAACACAGGAAAAGTAGAAGATACAGTGATTTAACCTGTATCCCATGCATCCCAAAAGGATTATGGCTCTCAGAGATCACATGCATTCCCTCTCCTGTGCATTAATGGGGATTCCTCTAAACAAAGTCTCTATCTTGTGGTAGAATCTTGGTGATATATGCCCGCCTTCTAGATAATTATATTCCAGTAAAAACCATTGTCCTGCGCTGGCATTTCAGATCCTAGAACATCTTTTCCCAAAAAAATGCAAAGAACAATATTGTAAGTTGGGGTAGCCTCAGATTGTGGTCACATCTTAAAATACACTGTGATTTCCCCAGACAACCCACGCACCTATCTTAAAAGACAGCTATCCATTCCTCTACTTACATTCATATAAATACCTGGATGCTTAAATCATACTGTTAATCACCACACAGTTAATAAGAAGCTTGAAAGAATTCCTATGTCAAGCTAATGATTCATTTTTAGGAAATGTGCTACCTACCATCCAAAGATGGGGAATGTAATTATATTTCATTATACAAAGTTGTATTTTGCCTCTCTTTTTAGCTTTCATCATGATTTTCCTCCTACCAAAATAGGTGTTTATTACTGAGTGCATATTTCCATATTAAAATTTTTTAAAATGAGTCACTATTTGAAAATCAAATGGAATTCAAAGAGTCAGATGCACTTGCAATGAGAATTCTTTTCTTCTTTCTTTTCTCTCTCTTTCTTTTTCATGTGTTGGTGGATGCCAATACTAGGGATTGAACTTAGGCCGTCAAACTCTTTCTTAGCTTTTTCTCTCAAGGCTGTGCTCTACTGCTTGAGACACACCTCCAATTCTAGTTTTTTCCTGGTTAATTAGAAATGAAGAGTCTCACACACTTTCTCCTTTGGCTGGCTTTGAACTGTGATCCTCAGATCTCAGTTGCCAGGGATTATAGATATATGCCACCAGTACCAGTTGTTGTTTTTTTAAATTTAATTTAAGTTTTTTTCACTTGGGTACTAGGGATTAGATACAAGGTGGCATTATACATGATGAGCAAGTGCTCCACCACTGAACCATTCCCCTAGTCTGAAAGATAATTTAACTGTCAAATATGATTAGTTCGATTTATTTCTTATTTAAACCCAAGAGCGTTTTTTTTAAAAAACTGTGTAACTGAAAGCAGAGAATTTCATGTTAAGTATGGAAAAAGCTCCCCATGACAGCAGCTGCCATCTCCAAGGTCACACCGCCCTCCAGATGTCTCCTTCACCCAGCAGCATATTTTCTTCATCTCCTTGACAACAGATACTGCTCAATCATGGGAATCCAATCCAATCCAGAAAACAGGCTTTGCTTTGTGTATTCTTTTACCTCTGGAAATATGAGATCCATCTTAAGATTTATCAAATGGAAGAAAAATTTCTTATCGGAGCACTTGGACTTACAAGGATGGAAGAAATCAACAAAGATGGATGTGGAAGGAAAGGAAATGGAAAAGACTGGACTATATAAATTTCCAGGGAATCAAAACATCAGATTAGAACTCAGATTGGTTACCTGGCAATGTCATCAATCCTGAAGAGTTTTTTGTATGATGCCTTTACAACGAACAATTTACTTCATGGGAGTCCAAGACTAGGGGATTGTGATTTAAGGCCAGCCCAAGGAAAAACAAGTGCATGATTTCATTTCAAGCCATTACTGGGCATGGCATCATGTTCCTGATCCAGCAAAATGGCTGAATCCAATGTCCTAAACCTGTCATCCCAATGGACTCTGAGAAGCACAAGAAGGAGGATCACCATCCAGGCCCACCCATACATAAGACTGCAAAAACAATCAATAGAAAAAGCAATTGGGGGCTGGGAAGGTGGCTCAGTGGTAGAGTGCTTGCCTTGCATGCATGAGGCCCAGGGTTCAATTCCTCAGCACCACAGAAAAAGCTGGACGTGGCACTGTGGCTCAAGTGGTAGAGCACTAGCCTTGAGCTAACGAGCTGAGGGACAGCGCCGAGGCCCAGAGTTCAGGCCCCACAACCGACCAAAAAAAAAAAAGAAAAAGCAGTTGGAAGGGTGGTTCAAGTGGTAAAGCACCTGCCTAGCAATCACACGGCCCAAATTCAATCCCCAATCCCCTCAGAAAGGGGGAAGGGAGATATGAATAGCTATGTACAAGAAGTATGCCACAGGCCCCGTAAGGCTTAGATTATACTCTGAACTTAACTAAAATCACTCTGAGCTATAAGTCTCTCTAATTCTGTGATTTCTATTATGTAGGAAGAGAAATTTGCAAGCTTCAAGATTCCAGCTCAATACTGTAGACTAGCACTTTCAAACAGATGAGTCTTACTTCCAACAATGATGATAGAGAGAGAAGAAATCATTTGCAATGTTTAAAACCATATGTTCCAACAAGTATGAAATTAATAAACAAAATAATAACATGCAGATGGGATCTGCTTTCAGCTCATCTAATCCACATATTTTTATAGATAAGCTCTGATGTGCACAAACTGATACTAAATTTTAAAAAGCCTCCACACTTAGCTGATTAACATGGCAATCTCTGTAATTGTCCCCTTGATACAGTTTCCTCAAACAAATAGCAAGTACTTGGGAGCTACCCAAAATATCAGTGGGTCCCCATGACAACAAAGTTGTGTTGTTCAACTTCTATCGTGCAATTTCTTGTATGTTAAAAAGGAAAGTCACTAAAAGATATTATTACCAACCATATTGGTTTATCTAAAGTTTATGTTTGCAGGGATAATAGTTCATATCCTTTCATCCATCAAAAGACTGCAAAGCCAGGAGCTGGTGACTCACACCTGTAAGCCTAGCTATTCAAGAGGCTGAGATCTGAGGATTGCTTCATAGCCAGCCTGAGCAGAAAGAAAAGTCCTTGCGCCTCTTACCTCTAACTAACTACCAAAAAGGCCAAAAGTAGAGCTGTGACTCAAGTGGTAGAGTGTTGGCCTTTGAGAAAAATCAAGAGTGTGAGGCCCTAAGTTCAAATACTCTAAGGGCATGTGTATGTGTGCGCACGCACACACACACACACACACACACACACACACAAACACACAAAACAGGACAGGTAAACACACTATAATTATACTGAGTGTTCTTATTCTCATTATGTCATATAAAAAAACTTTATTTTTTCTGATTTTCAAGGGCAATAAAAACATCTCTGTTTATGCACACAAAAAAATGGCATCAACACCAAGAAATGAATTCATTACATTGGCTGGCTCTCAAAGGAAAATACATCCTATCTGTGTGAAGGATTCAATATTCATTAATAAAAAATCAATCATGAAAGACAGATGCTGATGGCTAATGCCTGTAATCTGCACTACTAAAGAGGCTGAGATGTGAGGATGGAGATTTGGAGCCAGCCCACTCAGGAAAGTCCAGGAGATTGTTATTTCTAATAAGCCACACCAAAAATCTGGAAGTGGAGGTATGGTTCATGTGACTGAGCACCAGTCTTTTTGTTTGCTTGTTTGTGAAGCGCAAATAAAGGTTGGGTTTCTCCACAGACAAAGTAGCTCACATTGTCCATAATCATTGGATGATAGCATCAGCCTTGAGTGAAAAAGCCAAGAAAGAGTGGGAGGGTCTGAGTTCAAGCCCCACGACCGGCACACATAGCAATAAGCAATTCCAGGCACATTGCTTTTAGATTCTGAACTTAATTCCTTCTCCCACCAATTTATCCTTGCCTCTCATTAAAGCAAAAGTCATTCATTTTAATGTAATATATTAACCTTCTTTGTGGCTCTATTAGCACCAAAACTCTGAACAAACTTTAGGCCTTTTTAATTTTTATTTACACTTTTATTTACATTCTTAAATTGTGAATATCTCATAAAAAAACATTTTGAGTGAAACTGTACAACTGAATAAATGATTTCATGACAAAACTGAAGTGCATTTGGATGCCATTTGTTTACAATATTAAGAAAAATATTAAGATCATGCCTATCAAATACCAAATTACCATTTCAAATGACTAGACTCCTTTAGTCAAATTCCAAGCAGTGTGGTAGAGCTAGTAAAGAAATTCTCTGAATGTTCCAAATAGAAAACATTGTGCTTAAATTCTCTTTGGCTCCAAGAAAAGTTTGTCATGGAAAACAATGTTTTCAAGTAGAGTGCCAAGTGAAAGAGTGGAGGGAGAGGGGAGAGGTAGGCAGGAAAAAAAAGGCGAACAGGCATTTATGTATTCTAGAATTTAGGGGAAAGCTACAATTCTAAAATTCAGGCTGAGAAGGGAACCCTACTGCAGTGTTGGTGGGAGTGTAAACTTGTTCAACCACTTTGGAAAGCAGTATGGAGGTTCCTCAAAAGACTTCACATAGAGCTCCCCTATGACCCAGCAATCC